AATTGCGCATATTTCAATAAAAAAATAATAAAAATATCTGTTAAAAATACAAAATGGCGGGGGTTTTAATACAAAAAATCTATATAAAAACAATTTTTGCAATGTTTTTTTGTTTTTTATGATTATAAATATCTGGTTTATTTAATTTCAATAACATAACGTGATTTGGAAAGATAATTTAACTGTGTATAATCCTATAAGAAAATAATATAAATTTCTTTAAAAAATACAAAATGGCGGAGGTTTAAACACAAAAAATCAAATTTTCTCAGCAAAAAATGCAAATTTTACATTTCTTCTTATTTTAAACAATATATAAATAAATATATACATATTCAATTTATTTATATATAGAGAGAGATGAAATTTAACCCTCTTTTAACAACCCCTTCAGTAAAATTGGCATAAATCTGTGTCCGATTTCCCGCTTTGAAATTCTATTTGTATCTGCGTTAACTATCTACAAGTCCAACATTCCAACAATTTGCGTCGCAAAAGCAAACCAACAAACGTTCGTATGTTAGAGGGAAGCTTCTCATCCCTTTGCCGAATACAGGAGGGATGAGGGTGTATGTCCGTGCTCTCGACCGAGGCGTTAGTCCCGTGTGGATAAACGTTAATTCCATTCGTCGTCGTTTTCGCCACGCCATTGAAAACAGAAGCTCTGGAAGCTCAAAAGCTAAAAGCTCACACAAACAAATATTACAATTCTTTATCCTTGTACCTTAAAATTCAAAAAGAAAAATTTTATTCATCAACTAAAAAATGAACATAAAAACTTACCATTTCCTGTTTTGGTTTTCGTTTCAGTTTTGGTCCTTGATATATCCTGTCAACGTGTGTCTATTTGCCGCACGCATAAATACAAAAGCATATTCCATCCTTCATCCCACATCCCGAGCTTTCAACCCCAAACACTTTACCTCCACGCAGTGAACAACGTACGGTAAACGACGGCACTATAAGGACGCAGGACGAGCATCGGAGCTTTGATGCGTAATTCCGAATTAATTTGCATACTTTGCACAATGTGTGTAATGATTGATTAAACTCGAACCGACACACTCACATGCACACATAAATAATTTCTATTAAACACACACAAATACACACGTAGAGTTATCATACATGATAAACTATGGTGGTAGTTGTGGCCACAGTCATTCTCCGCGTCGAGAGTTGCGCGCAATGAAACGCGCATTGTTATATTGTCGTGAGTAGGCCAATGAGGTATATATGAGGCTTGTGCGGAACCTCACCCTCTCTTGCCGCCCCTCATGCCACCGCCGACAAACTTCCTCTGGTATAGGTTTCGATGGTGCGGGCGTACGAGCGGGCCAATGAGTAATGAACAAGCGGCCATTAAGTATGGTTAATGATGTTCACATGCAGCGCACACCAGCGTTGTTATATTGTTGTAATCTGTCAAACCATAATTAAATATGTACGCACACCCTTCCAGGCACACACTCAGTCTACGCTTTATAGAAAGGAGGCATCATCAAGGTTTGATTTATTGCCGTCTGGTTAGGAAAACGAGTTTTTGTTTCATAAAGTGTTTTAATTTAGTTTTTCAGTGGGAAAAACGCAGAATGTGTTTTGACATTGTTTTATTATTAATAAAAATTAAATATTTATATGGAAAATATTTTTTGTTGTTTAATAAACATGAAAAAATTGAGTTTTTAGGCAAAAATAAATATTTTTTACCAAAATTTCAATTATTTTGTTGTTTATTTATATTTTTAATAAATTTTTAAACCAAATCATAAATACATACTTATATTTTAAGAATATGTTTAATTTTTAAGTTTACTGTAATTAGAAACTGTGTAATTTTGAATTAAAGTTAAGGTATTTCTATTCCCGGCGCCTCCACACTATAATTCCAATGCATTTTCACGTTTTTTTGCATTTAAAGATGTTTTAAAGTGTCGTACACTCGTTGTGAATTAGTATTAATTAAAGTTTGTAGAGTCATGTCGTCTGACTGTAATTAATAACACATTAAGTGGCAAATAAGCAATGCCGCACAAGCACCGCGCCGCTCAAAGTGGGTGAAAGTGGACGTTTTATGGAAAATGTTGTCGTAGTCTCCTCCGGTGCGCGCCGCACGCCTCTTAAAATATGCAAATTCTTCATGTTTTAATGCGCCATCCCGCTGCTTTGCTGCACTGGCTCTTTACCGCCGTTTTTACTCGGAAACTATTTCGCTTATAAGCCGCGATTGCGCTCGGATTTGTTTCTATTTTCGGGCTGGTCGCTGCATAATTGTAGCGAATGCGACAGTAGACAATGGAAATTCGCTTCGGATTTATGTCTAACGACGTTGGTGCTAGCCAAGGCGCAGCGGAAGCAAACGGAAAGCCCGAGACGAGCTTCGTTTAGAGGTTTAGACGTTTGCTCGAACGGTTATTGCGGATATAGAGTCGGTGATCATTAGGGACGAGAAGCAGCGTCCTTTATAGCGTTGTTCTATTAAGATAATCTTATTGCAAAAGCTCCAGGCGTTTATCGTGATAACTGCCAACACAATCATAACCACAAAATTTGTTTTTTTCAAAAATTACAAAAAATAAAATTTAAACCTGAAAAAGTCGAAATTTGGTTGGAATTAGTAGAAAGTGTTGAAGGGGTTGTTTCACACCCTTGGCGTCTTTCTCGACGACGAACACAGATTGTCGGAATAGAATTGAATCAATTCCCAAGCCTTAATGTGATGAAATTCCTTTTCCAACGCGAGCAAATAGCACCTACGTGTTGCCGAAGCTCCAGAATTTGAATTTACGCCGGCAGAACGCTTGTGCAACCTCGCACTTTCCTCCTCTCTTCACCCTCACATCCGGGTGATGGTAGTAGTAGTGGTAGTCGAAGTCAAACATGGCTGAAAGAACGCCACTCGTCTCAAATCGCTTGTTTTGCCCGTTTTCACTCGCAGACGGTGATTGAATCGCATTTTCACAAAATCGAAATGCGCTCACTTTAATTACCAATCGCGTGTCGTCTGGGCAATAAAGGCACAAAAAAGCTTAAGAAACATGAACACCCCCGCAAGTAAACCCCAGAAAGTTTCAAGTCTTGCAAAAATTCGGCGCGCCAAATGTCGGTCAGCAGAGCGTTTCGTGGAATTTCCGTGAGCGTTCCTTTTGTGGTGAACACAACCCATTCTCATTCTCGAAAACTCAAAGAACTTCTGAAACTGAATGCCGTTCGATCTCTTTGTCCAGCGATCACACATTCAGAGTGTATCAAGAACAAATTCAAAATAAAAAAATTTAACCTCAAAAATAAATAAATCGAGGTTATCTATATATATATATATATATATAAATAAATTGCTGTTTGTTAGTCTCGCTAAAACTCGAGAACGGCTGAACGGATTTATCTTATCTTGGTCTTGAATTATTCGTGGAGGTCTAGGGAAGGTTTAAAGGGTGAGAAAAATTCGAATAATTGCCGGGAAAATCCTCAAAACAGCTCTTTTCTATTGAATAAAATTTGACATTGAGATTCAATCATAGGTATAGTTAAATAGTTGAATTCGAGATGGCGCGCTGAAGTGCATTATTGACAAAACTTTATATAATTAATTTCTTTAAATTAAAATTGCTAATCTTATTGATAGAATTGACACTTACTAGGAGTATGTCTAGAACAAGAGCGAAAAAACGAATTACATTTTTATTAAACACTGCCGGAATGAAGTCGCGGGCAACAGCTAGTGTTAAATATAAATTAAATAGTATTGGTAATATTTCCGAATAATTTCCCACTAAACCTAACAGGATATGCGTAAGCTTATTACAAAACATTCAGTTGGAAGGGATGAAGGGATGAAGGGATGAAACACATATTGAACATTCATCCATGATGTGTATGTGAGAGACTAGGAAAAGTGGATAATTTAATCGGACGCATGTGAATCGTGTGAAAAAGCAAGTTTTTCGTTTTTCATTGTATCGAATGTTTTTCATTCCCCCGCCGTCATAAATCATCAATTACGGGATAGTTTCAACTTTCAGCGGTGCGAGATCGACACAACCAAGGGTGGTACACTTGGTGCGTCCAATTAAGAGAACAATAAAAGCAATTATTTTCTTAATTCATCATCCGCAATGGATTAAACGCACGCGGCGTCATATTGATTTTGATCGTGGGTTGAAGAACACTCAAAAATTGAAAAATTTAAGTGACAAAGTCAATGAATTCAATGATTGGAAACCGGAAATGTGTTTGTGCACAAAGGAGCGTGTAGATAGAATTTCGCAGATAAAGGATTTGTAATTAACTTTTTGATTTGTCGCACATCGCACATTCCGGGAATGTTATTGGGAAATTCTTGTTTTCTGACCGCAGTATTACATTATAACATTAATTATTAACAAATTCTTGTGAAATACTATATTTTATTCACGTGTTGAAAATTTAATAATTTACATGCCAACCTGTTGAGTACCCGGCGCCTCCACAAAAATCCAACATGAAAAATTTGTCACAATTAATAAGTCATGAGATGGGAAATTATTTTCATACTGAGAACGTTGGTTAATTGGTTTTCACAACCCTTGGGAAGATAAAGGAAGGAAGGAAGAACCTGTCCTTGCATCTTCTCAGCTTAAGTTTTAGTTTTAGTTCAGGTCATGCTTGGTTATGCTAGCAGTACAATGTGCGTTGGTGCGCGACGTTTTCCCCGAAAGCTCGCCGTTCGCCACACCGCCGCCTGAATACAAAACGACCCATTACGCGCCGTAATGATATTCATTCTGATATATGTTGTGCCTCTTAGCACGCTACGAGCCCCCTTCTTAAATATTAAATGTACAAAACGTAATGGTCACAATAACCCGGCGCCTTCACCATATTCCCCTTTCTGCTTGAGATATAAAATCTTGTTAAATGAGGCTTGTGATTAATATTTGATACGTTAAACTGACCTTAAATTTTTATGATGCTGTGTTTTGGTTTTTGATAGTGATGATGTTGTTTATTGTTGGTTTTAGGTGGCGTGGGTGAGGGCTGAGGATCAGACTATTCTCAGTCTGCATACGAAAGTGGTGACGCACAATTCGCGCATCACCGTCACGCACGACAACCTGCAGACGTGGCATTTGCGTATCCGACAGCTGAAAGAGTCCGACCGCGGCTGCTACATGTGTCAAGTTAACACGAACATCATGAAAATGCAGCAGGGGTGTCTCGACGTGCATGGTAAGCTAATTTATTACAATATATTTTTTATTTTTTGCAAACAAAACAGATAAAAACAAAAAAATAAAAAAATGCAAAAAAAAGTGATTTTATGATATTTTTTATATTGTTTGTAATATTTGACAACACTCCACACTTCATTATTTGGCAGTTGAGTAAAAATTTTAGATCAATTTGTTTTTTATATTCAAATAAAACAAAATGTAATTTAAAACTGTTCAAAAAATAACATAGGTTTTATTACGTGGAGGCGCCGGGAACAAATTTATTCTGTATTGCTAAATTTAGTCTGACACTATATTAAAAATATAGCAATCATGTCAACATGCTATTTTGTCCTTCCTATTTGTTCATTTGTTCATTTATCCACAGAAAAAAATTATTACCTATGTTTTGCCTGCAATTAACAAACAACGAGTGCTTATCTACCCGTGTAGATACTTAAATAATCAATAATAGCGTGTCAGCTGATGTGTTCTACATATTAAACTAAATTTTACATCAGTCGTGTTTTTCCATCGCGTTATTTACGATCAACTTAATATTTATAATTATTCATTGATGAATATTTCAATTTTCTTGTGTTTTTTTGTGTTTTGTGTTTTTCTAAAGTGTTTTCTGAAGTTTCTTGCGCTCAATATTGGCTTCAATAATAACTAACTACTTATGAGTACGTCTATTATATGCATAAAATATTCATTGGAAGTTATGAGTGCGAGTACTAGTACGAGTACTATTAGTGCTTTTAGTGCAGCTCATCAATTACACCCAGATCGATCAAAAGTAAACAAAATTTATGAGCGTGTAGTTCAACGCTTGCATTTAGTTTATATAGCCTCAATTTTATTCACACGACTTTTTAAATACATAAATAATTTATTTTTATAATAATTTTTTACTTTTTTTTTGGAAAACTTTAGATTTTTTTGTAAATTTGACGAAAAATTAGGAAAAAAAATTATTTACTCAAGTATGACGTCATAGATAAATTAATATACCTTTAATTTTATTTATAAAACTATTTTGTTTTATAAACAATTATTTGTTATATTTATTTTTAATTTTTCTTGAAAAAATTAAATTTTTTTCTTAATTTTTCCAAAAAAACTTTTAAAAAATTAAAAAAATATATTTTTTGCTAAAAAATAAGATCATAGGCTAAGTAAACTCTAGCTTCATATAACCAATAAAAAAAGTGCGTTAATTTAGTCTATCTAATAAGTAAAATAATTAAATTCCAATTCTTTGACAGCGTTCGGAACCTAATTACTTTCAGTCACGCAGACTGACGCATCGAGTTGCATGGTGATTGTATCGATGGATTTAATAACATATCGCTACCAGTAGCCTACTTTCAACATGCATATTTGTACATTGTACACATTCTGCATTCAGAATTAAACAGACTAGTTGAACAACTAGTAAAACTAGTTTAACTAATCAATAATGCAAAATTTAAAGAATTTTTCTTAAAAATAGAAATTTATTAAAATTATGGCGTTGAAAAGGTGTAAAATAAATTGAAAACGTTCAAAAATAATATTTGAGAGTGTCGCCACATGAGTATCAGTTTTAGTATCGAACTATTCCGAAGAAGTAGTAGTAGGAAAATAGCGCGCGCCCCGCGCCTCCACCATCCAATTTCATTTGCGCAAAATGAGCACGTGCACGTGCCGCCAATGCAGTGTGTGCAACGCCGAATTGATTAAATAATATTTACACAATACACAATGCAGTTGTGCCCTAACTATTTTAAAATAAGCAGAAAACTTGACATAATTTCAAAAATTTGAAAAAAATTATTTTTTTTGTTTTTTTTTTTTTTAAGAAGGAATAGACGTCTTAAAATAAAGAATTATTGGATACAAGTAGAGTTGTTGAGTGCTTTAGGGTTGCAAGATCGATACCTCTTAATTTAGGTCCTTACAAACCGAACATTCAACGGGTTGAGACCCTTTTGAAGGTCCGAAATCAATAATAACACTCCGGGGCGCTACATTCAATTAATGATAAAGGTAAACACTCAAATGCTGATAGTGGTTGAAGTAGGTAAGCACAACTTTGCTTTCTTGGGTTTCTATAATATTATCTGTAGATTTCTTCTCAAACAACCAATTTTTTCTTCTAAATTTTTTCTATTTTTTTATGTTTTTATATAACGGTGTGATAATAGCAAACAGAAATGTGTAAATTTATGCAGCAAACAGACATAAATAGAAACTATACGCACATGGTCCCTTAATTTAACCCTTTGACGACTTGCCTAATGTTTGCACATTCGCATGCGCTGTATGTGTGCTCCTTCTTGGTTGATTTGCGTTTCGGGCGAGGGCGTTTTGAAATTAGCTTACACTCTACGCCGACGGCGGTGGCGAAACGTCAACAGTGAAATATCGTGTGCGGCGCTGATAATTCACGCTAAACGAAACGCCGCCTCCGGCCGTAGTGGCTGCGAGCATGTATTATTTATACGCGCGCGCCACAGTCGCGCGCCTCGCGGCCTCACACTGGTGACGCTTTCGTGACGTTTTCTTAACACACCCGCATGCATTTGCAATGCTAATCTTTTCTAAATGGAGCGTTCTAGTGTGCATAATTGTTATGATGATTGTCATTCGCATATTTTTTTTTTTAATTTAAAATTAATTTTTTTTTTTGAAAATTTTTTTGGATGTTTAATAGTTGATTATTTACGTTATTATTGTATCTTGAGGCATCTGAGGGGACTTGATTGAATGTCGTTTGGGATGTGGTGTGTGCGTGTAATAAAGTAATTGAAATCGTCGGCGGGGGCGGCGGACGCGCGCGCGTTTTGTTATTACATGGGCGAAGCGAATCGATAAATTGCAATTACCGTTGTTTCGTCCTTGCTCGTCCACTCCCCGGGCCGGGTTCAGGTGTGTACTCACCCCTATAATCGAATTGCGATAAGGCGGAAACGACCAAAAGGGGACATAATAATTTTGTCCAACTTTACTTCTAATTGAACCAAGAATACGCTAAAAATAAGAAGTTTTTCAAAAAATTTGCCAAAAACGGCAAAAAATTAAGTAAGAAAAGTTGTGAGTACATAATACAAACAATTTTGGGGAATTTTTAAATTAGATACTAATAAATATCTGAATTTCCGTTTTTTTTTGCAAAAAATTCGCAAAAAACAAAAATTTTGTGAAAATTTAGAAAAAAAAATTTTTTATTTGTTTTATGCGCAAATTTACCATATATTTAAACTTATACTTTAATCACAGAAAAATCGTTAATTTTCCGGTTTTTGCTTTTCCTGCATTTGCAAAAAATAAGATTTTTTTCGAAAAAGTTGTTTTCAATTCGGAAAAAATCACGCCTCACAAAAATTTGGTAAAAAAATTAAAAAAATTAATTTAAAAATTTGTTTGATGCCCAAAATTACCATTTATTTAAACTTATACTTATTCCTAGGAAAATCTCTAATTTTCCGGTTTTTTATTTTCCTCGTTTTGCAAAAAATAACAATTTTTTCTAAAAAGTAGGTTCAATTTTGAAAAAAACAGTTTTCTGCCAAAAATAAACATTTTTAAAACTTTTACGTCTGGCACACTTGGATATCTTAATTTCCGGTGATAATTTCCTAATTTTTTTCCTACGTTAACGCCGCGTCCAGCAGGTGTCGCAAAATTGCACGTTTTTTCCTCTCTGACGCAAGGAAATTGTCGAATTGACGCGCCGGCCGAAAAACGTGTTTGCAGTTCAATTCCGGCGTAAACTTTACGATAGTCCCAACCACCGCGCCGCCTCCAGTGCAGCAAGCGTGCACATTTAGTTCTTTTGCGCGTACGTATATCAAATTTTAATTTCCCGACAGGCGGCAGCGCACGTGCACACCGCCGACGGATTGCGGAAGCGAGCGTATAATAACGGATGCATGAGTTTTACTCCGGAGGCAGCGAGCACACGCAAAAAATGTCCCGGATTTCACTCACTCACTACTATACAAAGTATCCACACTGTACAATAATTTCGTCATATTCTCGCTGCTAAACGCAAACATTTTTTTAATGCGTTGATTACACTCTGTATATTAGTGTGGTACTTTTCAAGTGCCATTTATTTCTGTGAGGCACATTTTATTTTTGCAACTTCCTGCTCTGAGTTGAAGTTGACTGCTCGCTCGAATAGCGTTTCGCGTCACAATAATGAACATTCATCAGTGGTGCGCGGAGAAAAAAAATTTCAACAAAATATTAAAAATGCGCAAATTTTTACTTCGACGCGCATAATCTAATTAGCTATGCGCACAATCGCAGTAATTAAAATCTCGTCGCATATTTTATTTTATTTTCTGTATAAAGCAGGCGAACATAAAAGCAGATATCTTGACATTACAACAACACGAACAAAAATGCGAGTGAACAATGCGCGCGTACTGAGAAAGGAGGATAATTGCGCTTTCTTGAGGAAGTGGAATTCAAGTGAGTAATTAGTTTCGCGTGTGCTAATTTTAAAAGCATCCAGGTTATTTTTTTCTCAAGGAAAAATGAATTGTTTTGGGTTGAAAAATGACCGGAGATGACATTTTGTGTTCGTATCGAAGGACCAAAGGGGGTTGTGGACCCAAATGGGTATTTTACAACTTGTACGAGCTTTCAAGCTTTCAGTTTGAAACATTGAAACGTTGAAACATGGATGTCTTGGGACAGGATTTACGGAATCAATCAATTTTGTTTTGTTTGCAAAAAATTTTTGCAAAATTTTTAAAATTTAGAAAAAAATAAGAATTTTTGAAAAATAGTGAAGATGTAATATGCAATTTCGAAAAAAAAACATTGTTTTGTATAAAATAAACATTTTTCTGAAATTTTTTATGTTTGAAAATTGAAATTTTCAATTTTTTCACAAAAATTTCGCGAAATTTTCGTTTTTTTTTCCATAAATTTCGCAAAAAAATTAGGAATTTTAGAAAAAAGTGAAGATGTAAGATGCAATATACAAAAAAAACATTGTTTTGGTATAAAATATACTTT